CTGCTTTGCGAATAAACAGGTTAAAATGCATTGGATGAGCCAAACATCGGTGATAAAGTGTTTTCTTGAGGTCAATAGCAATCACGTTTAGGTTTTCAGTGAAGCTAAACATCATTAAACAATAGGAATTGAAGAAACATAGAGTCACTCACTAATAAAGTTTTATAGAAAGGTAATCTGCTAATGCCTCAAGAGTGTATGTAGGATAAATCATCAGAGGAAAAATAGCTTTTGTAATATTTTCATATGAGCAAGCGTAATACTGTCAATTTCACTTGCAACAAATAAAATTTCAATCAAGAAAATAAATAAACTATGAATTCGAAGACATTTATGAACTTTATTGTGTAAAATTAAAATTTGAGAATGATAAGTATAGGTAAGATGGTAGAAATTTTGGTAGAAAGCAAACAATTGATTTGCCTATAGATTAATGTCAGCAGATATAAAAACATGATGTTTTTGCTGAATTAGCAGGAAGCTGTCATTACCTTAGGGTAAGGACGTAAGAACACAGAGCCGCATTTTTAATAATGCAAAATAATGGGATATAATAAACAGGGAAAATCCAAGGCCATAAAAAGAAAGAAGTTTTGTGTTAAAAAGACAAGTCTTTTTAAACCACAAATGTCGATGTTTCTTTGAGTTCGCGTGAAAGTGCCTGATGAATTGCTAAAATTACCACTTCCAATCTGGTACAGTGGACAATCTCTTGGCCAAACGGCCAGAAGACGGACACTTTAGTCCCCATATTCTTATTGGTTACCCTATACTTTAGATTGGTAGAACACTATATTCTGGCTAGTGCATAGAAGAACATGAGAGAACGGTCAACGAAATTAATACATCCACGATTAAATGAATAGCCAACCCGTGTTTATAAACTCCGGAACAACTAGACAGCTCATAATGAGTGTGTTCCTACGAACGCCCTATAGACTGGCAGATAAGTTAAGCTCTTTTCTTTCTAACTCAAAATATAAATTGGGATATAGCTTGAATCAATCTCTGTGTGCGCTTAAAATCAGGTATTATATTAGAGAAAGGTGAGCTAAAGGGAATAGGTAAAGTTTGAAAGTGCTATTTGCTAGTCATGGTATGGCCGACAAACCTGAACAGAGAAAGGTGGAAAACCGGGAGGAGGCGGGAGCTCGGCGTAAGGAAATAGTTGGCCTTTCTGGTGTGCTTGAAGGGCCTCTTCGTACTGCTTAACAATACGACCAAGACGACGCGATTTGCTGGGATCGGTTGATAATTCAGCACTTTTCTGGGGATAGAAAAAAAATTGAAACTAGGTTAAAGGTTAAAGAAAAAGATATTTACAGTTGTGTATACAAGTTAAAAAAAAGTAGATGCCTTAGCTCTTTTTTCTAAACTTTACAAAAGAGACTTCGAATAAAAATGCCTAGTTCTCCATCCTTTTACATTACTGTGTCATATTCCTAAAACATTTGACCATTAATCAAATATATTCACCGAAGCTTCATTGGCATCGTAGTCAGATCTGTCTGCGAAGATAACCAAGCTTGACAACTCACATTTCCTTAAGGTGAAATAAATACTAAAATTGAATGATATAACCTGTTTACTAGAATAGGCCTTATTATGTCCCTTATTTAAGTCGAAACACAACTTTCTCCATTTAAGATTCGGGCTCCGATGCCAGACATGATAGTGGCGACAATGAGAACACACCTTAGAGCTTGTAAAACGAATTCAAACCAAGTCCTAGTGCTCCTATCATTCCGTTTGAAAAGGCGAATGAAAGGGATTCTCAAATTGGTATCACCGGACTTTTTACTGGTGGATTGTACGAAGAAGACCTCGGCTTACCACTACAACCATGATTAATCCATACTAGGCTTATGTGACATACATTGAGTCAGAAACCATCAAAAGCTCAACAAAAAAACAACAAACCAATAAAGATAGCATTCAAAAATTCTAATTACTCCTTATACTTAATTTGACGATCGTTATGAAGCATCCCATGACCTAGTTGGCTACTTTATGCCTACCTAACATGCTTTAGATAAAAGCGAAAGGATTGGTTACATCTGTTTGGTTACGTAAATAAATAAGAGTAGGGTCCTGAAATGTTGATGTCTGTTTAGGTTTGTAAATGCATATTCGCTATTTGCAAAACGCACGAGTTTATTGACATGCTGTAGTCCAATTCAAACGGCAGGTTAATCAAGACTTCTATTACTCGACAGCCCTTACTACTCTCTCTTTCTCCCTGGTTCTATCCAATAGCTAGAGGTAGTTATTGATTAGTTTCCTGCAATCGTTCACCACATCTAGGATATTGTTTGTTATCCAAAGTTCAATCGGCTGCCTAATCTTCAGCTAAGTTGTAAAGTCTCAGTATCATACAAAATTTTGAGCTTTCTACCATTATCCGATTTCCTATAGCAACCACATAGACACTGGCACATAAGCCTAAAAACGTATATCAACCTCATACACAAAGGGTGTCAAAATTTTTTTGAAAGAAATGACTGAGAAAATTGTGTCTTCTTGCATACACGATCCTGACATTCCATTTACTCAATAATTCAACTATCCTCTCGAAAGCTGGCAAAACAGCATTGGAAACCCGAATGGAAATCTGTCAAATTACGTGTTTTGCCCTCAATAACTGCTTTTTTCATACTT